GGTTAAACCTTCGTAGCCTTAACTCCTGTCGATAGACATGTGTCGGAAACTTCCGTCTATAGTATGGGAAGACTTCAGAGTCATTTGTTTAGAGTGAAGTGAATGACCAACGCCATCAAGAATGCAGTCAGCAAATTGTTTGACCGTTATAAAGTGTCGCTGTATTATAAAATCAGTTTAAAAGAAACAGCTGAAGGGAGCATTCTGGAGATGCGTTTAAAATTCAAACCGCCTTTTTAACAAGGCTAGTGCTCTAAAAAATATTTTGCCTATTTTGTCGTTATTACTAGACAACCACGAGGTATATAGATATTGAGATCAGTTCACTGTGCAGAGAGAACCTCTAATAATTCTTTATATGACAGCTTTGAACGTTTTTCCGATGGCCAGTACCTTTAATTTTGCAATTTACCACAACACAACGAATCGGTGGGAGAGAGTTCCATGCGATGACAATGTGGTTCGTATGAAATCTCACCCACAGGTTCGGTGAGACCCGTTGCAACCAGTGATACGGTTGCCAGGGTGACAACCTCGTTGACATGCACCTAGATTCTTTGGTGTTCTGAACAATCAGGCAAGGTCATCAAATATGACGTCATGCTAGCCCACTTGATTCACAAAAGGTGCGAGATTTGGTGAGATGGGAGAGTAGACGACGTCATTGGCTGACAACGTACTTGAGTGCATTCCACCCAGATGAGTGTGTCAGTTCAAATTAAATATCAGTGTATGTGCGATCCCCAAAAAAATAGCAGTACGAGCCAGCCAGAAAACGAAAGACTTTTTTCCCTCAGTTCGAACTTTCAAGCAGAAATACAAGCTTACTCAGCGACTCCGTCAGACCGCACCAGATTGCATCTTAGGGCGCGATAATTGTGCTTAAGAGGATGGGTTTTCTTATAATTTCTGAAAACGACTGACTCATGTTTATCGTCGATATTTTACTTAAAGATGCGTTCTTACGCAGCCAATAGTTGTGCAGAAGCTAGGAGCTACCTTTAAACTACCTTCGTATGCTAAAGGCGTTTCTTCTTTTTATACAAATTACATTTTCAAAACCCTTTTTAAGTCAAAAATGTGCCTGATTTGATTCTGGTGATGCACCTAAATATTTGTAGAATTATTTGCATTTCCTCATTAAATTTATATTATTCCAGGAAATTTCTATATCAGTCTACTGACCAGAATAGTAAAAATTGTTACAATTTGGTTACGTGTCAATACAACCAATTTGATAATAGCAGAAATTCGATTAGGTTAGTAATAAACGGGTGATTAGTGTCAAATTTACAAATGAAAGAGAATGTTCGCATTCCACAGTGGCGCGTCGGCGGCAAAAATACACAAATATTGATTTTCTACAAGTTCAAAAATTTTTGTTATTGTACCCACGCCACAAGTAGCCACCCCATTTGTTGCTGTTTTTCCACCTCTCACGATGGACTCCTGCAGGACCCTGAAAGCTCACGCAAAAATGCAATTGGTTCCAATGCTCGGTCGTGTATCTTCTTTATGAGTGTCAAATGATGACAACAAAATCAGGTCTTCTCTGTCTTTTCTTTGGACTTTTAGAGAAATGTATTTCAGTATACATTGATGATCTCTTTTTCATTTAACACAGATAAGGAGATATCTAACTCGGTTGCGGTATTTAAACTACCTGGTAGGCCGACATAAGCCTAAATCGAAACCCTTTTGATATGATTAATTTTTGAGATGTTCGAATCTGTGCGATGTTGATCTTTTCGTGCTCAATTTTCTTTGAGGACAAAATTGTTCATTGTTTGCTTAAGATTTCCGTCCTGCAGAATTTATCACCGAAGATTCAAGAAAATCTTGGACATTCCATTTACGGTGTATCCGCATAACTTTAATTCCTAGACAGAGAAACATATTCCATATTTAGCTCTTTGCTGCATCTAGGAGAAAAATACGCATATATGCTACGGCAATAAGTCCAGCCAACGGTTTTAAGCTTAACGTTTTTTGCTCCAATTATCTGTGCAGATTCGTAAAATATTATAATTTCAACGAGTCATTACAAACAATATCTCTAGAAAGTCATTACGTCTTACGTATTGCAAATAACTATTTTCTGACAATTTCCCAAATCAATTTGTTTTTTTCTTTGGATGCTTTAATTTAACTATTTAACTGAGTGATAAAGGACTCCTGGTGGTTTTAAAAAATATTTTTTTAAATGCACACTAGGATATGAGTTGCGCAAAGCAGGAATTTAAAATGTAAACGTATGGGTATACCTAAGTGAATGGCGATAACGACAGAACATTTATAAACTTCAGTGGCCATCTTTGTTATTCTTCATTCGCTACAGATAAGTAAGATCAAACTGGCATTTACTGTTTATGCTTACTCGAACATAAATTCTCAACATCGTCATCTTGACTCGACAAAAATACTAGGTAACACATCACAGAAGGTTTACATATTGTCCTATCAACAC